TACTTCTAAAGTTCATGCTTTCATTAAGCTCATTCTTAAGTTTATTTAAAAAAAATTTATGAGAACATTTTTTATAGTTCTCTTCCTAATTATTTCCTTGTTTCACTTGGGCTTTACAAGCTCGATGTAGTCCTTTGATGCATATTTTTGCATCGCATTGATAATACATATATATATATATATATATATATATATATATATATATATATATATATATATATATATATATATATATATATATATATAGGGTTGCTTTAGTGGCAAACAGGACAGAGGTACACTACTTTTTTCTCTTAAAATAAAACAATGAATTCTCAACATATTATAGTGATTATTTTATCTTTATTTTTTTTAGTTTACATTTATTAATAAATTAAGAAATTCAAACTAAATAATTATTAAATAAATTACTTTCACAAAACAAAAAAGTTGTACTGATCTTATCGTCAGAACCTTTTACATGCGTGGGATATAAATCACATCAATTATTAATCAACAAAACAAGATTTTTTACAATAAAGCTCCAAACAGATCACCATAAAGAAAAATTTACGATATTAGCTATTATAAAATGCTAGAGGAAAATAAACTTATTCTTATCACCAAGCACCAAATTTAAAAATTTATTTCCGTGATATGATAAGTAGTATATAAAGATATTATTAGTAATATATATAAATTTCAAGTTCGGTTATCTATTTTCTGGATACACAACTACCTCAGCCAGGTGATGAAGAAACTTATTGCTCCAGCTGGTGCTTTATCGATTCGATAATTAATAGTAATGTTATATATTTGTCATTAAATTAAGTTTGTAATCTTAAAGTTAAACCTTTTGGTTTTTCAATAAAAACTTCAGTACAATCAATAAAACAATCACAGTCTTTAAAGTTTTTATAAAACACAACTCCTTATTGTTACCTGATCTGCCAAACAATCGGCAGCTGTATTCACATCTCTCCGATAAACCTTGCGATAAAAGTAAAACAGCAGTTTTTAACGCCAATGATAAAATAAATTCGTATTCTTAATTCTCCTAATTCTCCATATCCTGCTGCTGGGGGCTTCAGTACATCGACTGACAAATAGCCTGACTCGCAGTGAAGTGCTGCTACATCGACTGAGGGTTTGGTATGGGTCAGCAACCTTTTCATTCATTATTCTTCGTTTTTCCTCATCGTTTTCTAAAAATGCTCACTTAATTTAGGCTAGCAAAAAAAGTGAGCAATTGCCCATATAAATATGCTATAGTAGATATGTATGTATATATATATATATATATATATATATATATATATATATATATATATATATATATATATATATATATATATATATATATATAAACATATCATTACAACCTAATACACACCAGTGTATAAAGTTTTAATTAGAAGAATGAGCACAATTCTATTTATGAAAATAAGCCCGTTATATACTACTAACATAAATATGTGTTAAGTTTTACAAAGTGCTGCAAAGAGCAGCACGATCTGTAACTAATGATGGTAAATATTTATCACCTTTAAAACTTTCTGGATTAAATGGCTCAATGCCAGCTACTTGAAATCATCTCTGTATATTAGATGGTGAGAAAGCTTTTGTATATGGTTCGCGAACTATTGAAACAATATCATAAATGGTCATAGGATTTGTGACCATCCAATTATCACACGCAGCATTGTAAAACCTTTTCAATGGTCCAAAAACATTTCTTTTCAATGGTTGTAATTTATGGGTACAATGGGGAGGAAAACTTAGCATTGTAATTCCATGTTGAATTGCAAAATCTAAAGCTCTAACAGAAATATGACTTTTATGGCTGTCCAGAAGTAACAAAACTAGAGATTCATGAGAACAGTTTGAATACCTTACAAAATGTCCGTTCTATAAAAATGTCTAAAATCATTCAACCAGAAGGGTTTGCAAATCCCACGCATCCTCCTTTATCATGCAATCATGAAATTTGACCCTAGGAAAAACAAATAGTGGAGGAATAAAGTTTCCTATTGCATTTGAAGCACAACATACAGTTACTAATGTTCCTCGTTCTGCAGATGTGATTCTTACCACTTGTTTACTTCCTTTACCTGCTAACACTTTTACTGGCTTTTGTACCGTTGTTAAACCAGTTTCATCAACATTATATATGCAATAAAGATCAAACTTATATCAATTTCTTACTGTTTTTAGATTTTGGAAAAATTCTCCTACAGTGTGTCGGTTAAAGGCAGTTGATCGAGCAAAGCTAGTTGCTTCAGGTGTTCGTAAAGACAACTCTGGTTGTCTTTTCATAAAACCTTGCAGCCAATCAATCCCTGCAATTTTATTCTTAATCCATGATAAAAGGCAGATCTTATTATTTTTTACAGCAAACTCGTATGCCAATAATCGTGTTAACTTGAAAGTCTATAGTTCATTTTTGATGCAACTAGTAAATAACTTGACAAACTTTTTTCATCTTCTGCAGTAAAAACTTGTTTATTGTTGCAATTAGACTTAAAAGATTCATTTGGATTGAGCTTCTTTTTATTACAATATCTTTTTAAAGTCATTCGGTTTATGCTAAACTTGCGAGCTACAACATTCACTGGTCTGCCCTCTAAAACTTCATTAACAGCTGCTTTCATTGTATCACATGATATAGCAACTCTGTCTGTTTTTTTTTTCTATACCTAACCATTTAAAGATCTGAAAATTATAAAAAAAATAAAATTAAATGATTGTTTAAAAAAAATATTTTATATAATAATATTATGTAAACTAGTTGTGAAACTTATGTACAACTAAAAACTAATGTTAGTAATATTAGTTTTTAATACTATTACATTTTAAAAATGAAACTTTAAAAATTTATATAAAGATTTTTTATTCGTCATAAGTTTAAATGTATAAAATTTAAACCAAAAATTTAAGTCTTATAATATAATTTATAAAGGGCACTATGCTCCTCCGATCTATGAGCCCCGCATAGTCAACGATTAATGTGCCCCATTAGGTACAATTGATATATTGATGCCAATAACTTCTATAAATACAGTAGCCAACTCAAAAAAACAAATTTATTCTAAACTTAACACATATGAGTTTACAATAAATTGGTTGTAAAGTCATACGGGGTCGTCCATAAATTACGTCACGCTATAAGAGGGAGAAGGGTTGGTGGTTTTGTGACGACTCATTCAAAACTCGCTTCTTAAATGTTACGATTTTGTGACGAGGGGGGGGGGAGTTCAAAAATGGTCAAAAATTGCGTGACGTAATTTATGGACGACCCCTACGGAAATTCAATTAAAAATTTATTTGAATTTGTTTACAACTTTCAAAAATCACTTTTCATGATGAAAAACTGTCTTTTCAATTTTCTTAACGCTGAAGTTGATCTTATCAAAAATTACTACGATTAAGCAATGAAGGGTAGTATAATGGTTAATCAAATTGCAATTTCTGTTAAATTAAGGCAAAAGTAAACGAGTAAAAGCTAAAAGATCATACTGCCCCGGCGATCAATGCGCCCCCATCTTCCCTACCAAGATAATGAAGATGCATTTTATTGTCAGTAGTTTTCAAATAAATATGTCAGATTTTAAGAATTGTATTATAAGGTTCAATAACAATGAGAAGTATTGTTACTTACGAGTTACTAAAGAAGTAAATAAGCGCCATGTTTCACTAATAGCTTACGAGCACTGATATGGGTACTTTAAATTCAGATAAAATGTATTCTTATGTTGATTAAATAGAAATATAGATCATGTAAGGAGTCTTTTTGAACTTAGCAACCATTATTTTAAAAATAACTGGATTGAATTTACAAAATAGAAAAAAGACGATGATTTTAAATAAATGAAATCATCGTCTATTGGCATCGCAACAACATAAGGTTTTTCTTCAAATTCTTTTCACATGTATATTTACAAGCTGCTATATGTGAAAAATAAAATCCTAAGCATTCCTTCTTAGTACAAAACTAATATTTTCCGAAATCCAGAAAAATATGT